TCAGATTCTACAAGTAAAACCTAAGGAAACAATTCGAAATCTAAACTTCTATTAAAAAAACACACACACACACACACAAATTCATCACTGATTTGTTCTGAATTACGATAAATCAAAATCCAGAAGACGATCCAAAATTTCAAGTTTCCTCTAACATGAGATCAAAGCACTTGAAATCTATAGAATGAATCAAGAAGCGGAAAATTAAGATTATATTAAAGAAAAATTACCATTTCCTGTTGCATGTTCATGTCTGCTTGAGCCATAAGCGAATCGATTTCGCTGCAGAGAGCAATCAATCGAAATGCAGAAGTAAAATCTGAAGAAGGTTTTTGTCGCCGGAGAAAGTATTGGTCGGTGATGAAATGATGGTTGTTCTCCGGATAGGCGACCCTTTTATCTGGGAGAGAAAGGATTTGATTCACACGGCACGGAAGGCAGTGGTTAAGACACGGAGGTGCAGCGTCTGGGATTGGTCGTGTCGAGGTCTTCTCGAGCGTTGACTCTTCTAGGCTAAGTTAAGTTGCCATAAAAACGCAGAGCAAGTGAAGTACGAAATCTCAACTTACCCCCCGTCGTGTTGGCAGAAACTTTCAGCACACGTCAACACATGGACTTCTTCTGGAAAAAAAAATTTTCTTTTGCTTTTGTTTGGATAGCTTCACCAACTCAACGTACTGTTGAGATTTTAAATTACCCTATCTTTTTTTGACAAAAAAAAAAATAATTAAATTAATATTTAAGAAAAATTAAACTTGAAATCAATAGTGCATTTCACATGCTGCTCCTTTTGAGTAATAATATCTACTATTGGATCATAACAGGAGAATAAATTACCCTGGTACTTAAAATCGCGAGCAAGTATACTTGAAAAAGACATTTTGACACTCAGTTATTTGGACGGAGTTCGTTTCCCACACGACCAATTGTTTGGGCAATTTTATGAGATTAATTAACCATGAGTTGATCAGCAAGGAAACTTGCAAAACAGACCTATTGTTATTTTGATACCCAAATTAATAATATTTTATATTAAAAAATTAATTATTTAAATAACATATAAGATTATATAAAAAAAAATACAAAAAGTTATCCTTAAATTATTTTTTTATTAAAAAGTATTGGATAAAAAATAGACTTCTTAATATTGAGAGTCTTCTTTCATCTTGCATCTAATTATTTTTATTTTGTAGTTTAATATATACAATATAAACTATAAAATAAGATTTTCATATTATAATAAGTTTAATATTTTTATGATTCAAATTGTATTGAACTACTAAAAAAATTAATTATTAAATAAAGGAACCTTACCTTAATATCAAGCACCTCTCTTAATCTAGTTAATATTTTACAATCCAATTAGGGGTGAGCCAAAAAATCT